GCGTTACTTGTCTTTAAAGATGGTCTGGAGAACATCTGACCTTCACTACCAGTCGAGTGACACGCCTTCCTACACAACCCTCACTGAGGGACCATGTCATCAATGCTGTCACCACTTGGCATGTGCTGCCGGGTGCCCAGGGCCAGAGGAGGTGCCACTCCTTAACGGGCACTTCTATTTTTCTGCCCACAGGCCATGGAGACTCTTTTTCTGTTCCCACCCCAACACTGGCTAACCAACCTTAACCAAAAGTGAGTCCTGTGTCAAAGGAGAGAGCCGGCCTTTGGAAGGGGTCCCACGGCCGAGGCACATGAAGGTCAGTCCAGACGGCTCACCTCAAATGCTGGGCCTCCTCTCCATCTCACGAAAGATCTGCACGGTCTCTGCCGCACACCGTTCCGGCATTTAGTGCTGTTTCCGCGTGCTCTGGCTCCCTAAGGAGGACCTGCTATCTAACAAGTCAGGCTGGTGCCTACATAGTGCCTTCACCCCTGTGACCCGGTGTCTTTGACACAGGAAGGTGTTCAGCAAACCACCAAACAGAAATATAAACAAGCCAGCCCCAAACTCTTTTCCTCTGCAGTGGTGTACTGCCTACAAGACACGCGAGGGGATGGTGGTACAAGGTCCTGGGAGGAACCAGCCAGTACGTGATGTGACTTGAGGCCCGCCCCACAAGGTGGAACCCACACCCGACTCTGCTTGGGTGGCCAAGAACCTGGAGTAAAACCAAATAATACTGGCCTAAAAAAAAAAAAGAGGGGCAATGTAGTGATAAAATGACTCCTAATGACATTCTGCTATACCCATAGATCAGTGCCTTCCTGGTTCAGCCACCGTCAGGGGAGTTTCCTCCTGCAGCAGATGGGAACAAACGCAGAGACCCACAGCCAGACATGAGAGAGAGAGAGAGAGAGAGAGAGAGAGAGAGAGAGAGAGAGAGAGAGAGAGACAGAGAGACAGAGAGACAGAGAGAGACAGAGAGACAGAGAGAGAGAGAGAGAGAGACAGAGAGAGACCTTGTAGCACTCAACCCTAAATGGGATGTCTCCATCAAGCTCCTCCCCTGGGGCCAAGGGAACCCTGTTGAAGAAGGGGGGGGAAAGTGTAAGACCAGAGGCCAAGTCAACATAAGCCACACCCCGGAAGTCAACATGAGCCCCGCTAGTATGGACGAACAGACTGAAGCAGCCAGCGTGGTGCCTGCACCAGGCCCTCTGTGCATGCATTGCAGCTTCCAGTCTCTTTTTTAGGGGGCTCCTGAGTGCGTGGATGAGTGGGTCTCTGACAGTGCCTTCTCTTGGGCTCTTCTCCTTCTGTGGGTTTGTCTTGTGAAACTTTGATGAGATAGTTTTTAACTTGTTATATTTTATCTTGTGTGTGTTTTTTTTTTTAATGAGTGAAGACCTAGCCACTAGAGTAAAGGTTAATGACCAGCTGTCTCTTATCCCTGCTGGGGAGGGGAGATCAGTTCCCTCCAACAGAGTGACACGGGGCCTATCAACCACTCCAGGGCAGGCCGCGTGTTCAGGAGTAGTTGGCCAGCATACAATGGACTACCGTTTCATTGTGTGTGCTTCATTTGCTTACAGTTTGGTAGGGTTTTTTCCCCCTTTGGGGTTTTTTATTTTATTTTCTTGCTTTTGGGGGGGTGTTGTTGTATTAGATTTTTGGGTTTTTTTTAAGAAAGAACTTAAAGTTGGGTGCGAGGAAAGGATCTGGAAGGACTTGTTTTAAATAATAAAAAGTATAATTTTAAAAAGAAATGCCAGAAGTTAGCTCCCACAGTGTCAAGTAGGTATTAAATAATTATTAATAAGCTGAAATAGCTCAACTGCTATAGGCTGAACTGTGTTCCACAAAGTTCACACATGGGGGTCCCAGCGCCCCAGTTCCACAGAATGTGGCTTTACCCGGTGATGAGGTCACTTTGGATGTAACTAGGGTTGCGGTAGTGCTAGGTAGGGTGCTATAGTGGATCTGGACAGAATGGAGGCCATCGTAAGAATGTGATATAAGCTTTGTTTTCACAAACTTAGGGGTCTCTGGTCATGTGAGAAAGGTCTGGATAAGCACCCTAGCACATACCATGATTGTGAACTTCTGGCCTCCAGACCATGAGAAAAATTCGTATCCCAGGAGGGACCTCTGACTCAGTTACTCCCCCCCATCCCTGGCAGCCCCAGATCTCCCACAGAGAGTGCCATGTGAACTGCACACAGCTTCCCTGTCCCATTCTGGGACACACAGAGGGAACAAAGTTCCTGGAGGTTTTCGTTGTAATTAATAACTTTGTACCCTGCGTTCACAAGTAAAATCAAAGCAGCATTTTAACATAGGTTATTCTTGGCATTTCTCTATTCTCTAAAATTCCTGCATCTAGAGTGTGCCTCCTTTGAAAAACTAACCTGGAAAGGTCTGAAGGGAGAACTTGCCAGGGTGGTGCTACCAGGACTCAGGGACATGATGGTTTCCGAAGGTTTGGGATCAGAAGAGGGAGGGGACAGGATGGGGGCCCGGCTCAGGGCCTGGCTCTCCCCAGGATAATCAGAGGGCAAGACCTTCATACTGAGGGCAGGGAAAACTTGCAAACCTCGTCTCCCTTCGTCCCTGCAGCAGAAAGCCTGTGGCCAGCAGCAGAGTAGCACCTCTCATGACCAGTCCAGAGCCCCCTCTTCTCACCTCCAAGGAGCAAACACAGAGGCTCCAAGAGAGGGACCCCAACCCGCCATTTTCTTTGCCTGAGCCAGAGCCCAAGGAATGTCCCTTCCCCTCTAGCCAACCCCTTTCTGAAACAGAACAGGACGTGTTCTTAATAAAAGACACATGGGAAGCCTTCCCTCTGCGCTCTTTCCCAGGCCTGAGCTTCATTTTAACTTATGAACTTGCAGAAGGGAAGTCTCACGCTGCTCACAATTCACCAGAGTCAGCACGGCCACGTGGCAAAGGGTCCAGCTTAGAGCCGTTCCACGCCACACAAATGTCCAGCTCCATCCCCAAGCATTTCCTTTCTAAGGAGAAGCCGCCTCACTCCTGTATTCCTTCGTTTAAGCAAGAGTTTCCCCACACATGTGCTTCGAGACAAATGTGATTACATGCAGGCATCGCCGAGTGCCCATGACTTCACGGCAGAGGCAAGCTCATGGAACCCAGGGTTTCAGACGGTGGCTAATGGTCTACTCCCCACACCTACCTATGACCCAAAGGGCCGGGGACTATCTGTATGGTGTCATCAGTCAGTTTAAAACCAACCAGTCGGGGCTCAGAGAGGCCAAACAACATCAACCCAAGACATTTCCACTCGACTGTAGTTTCAGATTGTTTAGGGCCTATCTGGCTGCCAGAAGCTAAACATTTCACTCATTCCTCTCTTTGTTGCCTCAGAGATGAAAGGGCCGCTGCAGTTTCCTAAGAAAATCTTTCTCGAAGTTGAAACAGAATATGATTATTGAAGTTTGCCTATCCATATTAATGCAGCCAACGTGTCACATAACGTGTGTATGTGTGTGTGTGTGTGTGTGTGTGTGTGTGTGTGTGTGTGCTGATGGGGGTGTATCGCTGTTGTCACAGCGCAGGGATCTTTTTAAAGCTTACCCTCAGAAACGGGACAGGGTTTTCTTTAAGGCCTATTTTGGAAAACTTAGCATGTCTCATCCGGACATCTGTCTTTTATATTCAGCGGCACCAACATCCAGATGACAGACCCTGCTCTTAGTCCATCCCATCTTAAATCATAACTTTATCAATTTGCCTCATTTAGAAGCATCATTTCCACATCAGGGAGGCAGTTACGTGTTCTAAAATGCATGTTGTTTTTTTTATAAATAATGTTCAGAAAAATACATAAAAACCCATTTATGCCTGCAGAGTTCATGTTAAATGTTTTCCAATTAACACTGTAACATGAAAATTTACGAGCAAAATTAGAATGTTTGCTTTTTCAGATCACTCAATCAACATTTTGTTAGTAACAAATTGTCCTACCTGGGGTGTGTGTGTGTGTGTGTGTGTGTGTGTGTGTGTGTGTGTGTGTGTGTGTGTGTTTGTATACACTCCAATGAGTGCTACTCCTTCCTAATTACTGGGCAGTTTGATTTCTGTATTTAACACTTTTTAAGTAACTAAGGATCTCAATTTTTTTTTTTTTTTTGTCTAAAATGTGTTTTGGCCAAAATCTTGAACACAGACGTTAGTACTTTTTAACATATAAGAGTTGACTGTTCTTAGAAGGGAAGTCAACCCTGACACTGCTCTGTGAGCTTGGCATATGAAAACAAACTTTGGTCACCCCCAGCTACGGTCAAGGTTCACAGTGCTGCGCCGCCTCCGGGGAGCCACCAGCCAGCAGCAGCAGCAAGCAGACTGCTCCAAATCCAGCAAGCGGTGAAGATGGTAATTCGGAACCAGCCCCCAAAAGTCGGGGCTTCCACACCGTGTGTGCGCAGTTCTGCAGGCTTGGATGAGTAAGGAAAAGCAGTAAGTCATTTCACAGCTCAGCGCTCCCTCAGCTTTGATGGAAGCATCCTTTAAACATGCCCAGCCGCCGGTCCATTCAACACAAGGGTGAGACTGCATAGCCAGCGACGAAAACCGCTCAGACAAAGCCATCGCAGAAAGCTGCGCGGCGCAGAGACGAGGATTTCTGATCCGTCACGGTGAGGGCGAAGCTGACCTCCCAACTTCATGTTAGGGCGGAGCAGAACCCCACCGGCATCCGCACAGCCAACTCTCCTTCCCGTGACCCCGACCCCGCCCCGCGCGCCGATGCGGCCCCCTCTGCTGCCCCTGCCTTCAGGGCGGGTCCCCTTCCCGGCGCCCCGCACACAATGGCGCCCCGAACTCCCGCCGCCGGTCCCCGCGCCCGGCGCGCCGCCGGGTCCGCGCACAAAGGAGGGCGCGCGGGCCCCAAGCCGGCGCGCGCCAGGTGCTCCCGCGCGCCCCGCCGCCCGCTTCCTGCCCGGGCCAGGGACCCACCCGGAGACCGCGCCAGGGCCACTTACTTTCTCGATGGTCCCGGGCAGCAGACGCTCGAGCAGCCGACACAGGACCACCCCGTCCTTGAGCGACGCCTGCAAGAAAACCTCGGGGTCCGAAATGGTTTTCTTGGGCGACTCCAGCACGCCCAGGGTGATGAGCCACGTAACGGTCTGCTCGGCAGAATTCATCGCTGCGGCGGCTCGAGCTGCGCGCACGGAGGGGGCGCCGCGCGCGATCACCTCGGAGCGGCCCGGGCCGCGGCCACCCGCGCCCCCGCCGCCTCCGCGCCCATGGGCGGCCGCGCGCCGGCGATTGGCCCGGCCGGCCCAGCAGGTCCCGCTAGGCTCCGCGGGCTCGCGCGCGCCCTGGCCCGCTGTCAAGTGCCTTTTCATTAGCGGCGCAGGAACCTGCGGGCGCCCGGCACCGCCCCCGCCGCCGCCCCCCGGCCGCGGCCGCCGTCGCCCGATGACATCACCGGAGAAGAAAGACGCGGCGGCCGCCCGCGCGCGCCCCGCGCCAGCCCGGGCGCACGACAGCTGGCGCGCCCCCCGCTCACCTGCGCCGCCCGCGCGCCCCGGGGCTGCGCGCCTTTGTGGGGAGGGCGGCGCGCGATTAGTAAGCTCTTCCCAGAATGCTCTCTTGAGCCTGGCCGCCGCCTGCGGGGCGCGGGCGTCTCTCCGCCACCTCGCCAGCCGGCGGTGACGGCACGCACATGCTCGTTAAATCTGGGACCAGATGGGTCTCTCTCGGGCAGGAACGAGCCTCGGGGACGCGGGCGCGGTGCGGAGCGCGGGGGGGGGGGAGGGGGCGCGGGCGACCTCATCATCCAGAAACCTTGCGTGACTCCGCATGAGATTGAGGATGACGTGTCCAGCGGTCAAGAGCACAGCGCAGCCTCGGGTGGGTCTGCGCGGAGAAGGGGATTAGCGTCCGCTGGAGAGCGTGCTGGCCACGCTCAGGCCCGGACCTCTGCGTCCTCTTCCAGCGCGAAGGACATGACAGGAGACTTGGGGAGGGGGGTGTGCTCGCCCTCAACCGACTTGGATTTCCACTTACTCCAGCCCCCGGCCCTATACTTTCCCTGCCGGCTGGCACTCCGCGACAGTGACGGTTTAAAATAGAGCTTGCAATGTCCCTGGAGACCTTCCCCGGGGCCAGGCATGCACATTCATCCTCTAACTGCTCAAGGCTAGAAGCCTTTCGACGCTGTCAGAAACGGATTAGGGGTTCTACCCTCTCCCCTGCATTCTCCCAGGAGCTTCAATCACCACCATCGATTGCGTTTAATAGCATCTTCCGGCTAAGTGGTTACATTTCTGTTCCAGACACAAACAAAGCATTAGAATAGTGTGAAGTCTGTTGAGGGCGAGCTCCTCTGTGAGGGCTGCTGCAGCTTTTGAAGGAGCGCTAACCAACCAAGGCTGCAATTCCGGTAGACCCAAGCTCACTTTCTATTTTCCTGGTTACCCTGCCCGAGGAACAGTCCAACCAGTTTCCCATCCTGTGCCCCTGAGCCTGTCCAGAAAGGGGCAATGACCACCCACACATAAGAGTCCACCAACCATGCTGCTCCAGCCAGAAGTAATCGCTTAGTGCTGAACTTGAAAACGAACGGAGAACGCATTCGTTACGAATTTCAAACCCTGTTAGACTAGATCTAGACTTACCAGTCGTACAAAGGATAGTTACATAGATTGACTGTTGAGTGGCCCTAAGAAACCCAGGCCTAGGCAGACCTAGGAGATTGTAGAAGTTGGGAGTCAGTGGCCAAAATGGAGGCTCACAGGCCTTTGGCTACGCCCGTTCATTTTGGCAAAAGTCCCCAAAACACAAAATGCTCACCTCACAGACTGCATTCTTCCTAACCCTGGAAAGTGGCATTGCTCACAACCGAAAGTTTTCTGGTGCTTCAAGTCAGCACTTGGTCAAACTTCGGTGACATTTTTTTTTTTTTTTTGGTTTTTCAAGACAAGGTTTCTCTGTGGCTTTGGAGGCTGTCCTGGAACTCGCTCTGTAGACCAGGCTGGCCTCGAACGCACAGAGATCCGCCTGCCTCTGCCTCCCGAGTGCTGGGATTAAAGGCGTCCGCCACCAACGCCCGTCCGGTGACATTTTATTATAAGTCCCTGCTATAAGTCTGAGTAGAGCGATGCCCTGCTCAGTGTTGAGTGAAGAAACACCAGCTGCAATGTCAGCCCCTGCCCCTCCAGCCTGAGCCACCTGGAGGAGTGGACTAACCAGCCGTCCTACTCATCTGAGCCCTCTCACCTGCCTGCCTAAGTGACTGATTGATATAGATACATGATAGATGATTGACAGGCAGGTGGTAGGTACTGGATTGAGAGATGTTAGATAATACTTACAGACAGGGAGCATCCAGGACCCCGCCTCAGATACATCCCACTGGAGGACAGGACAGAGATTCCCACCCTCCCTCAGAAGGGTGTGGTGCCTGAGGCCTCCCTGGGATGTGTCTGGTTGTACAGGCTCTGGTGTGACCATTGGGCAGATAGATCTCTCAGGAACCCAGCCATCACCCTCTGTGATGTAGGGGCCACCAATCACCCTACTGGATTCTGGAATTCTCTGGAAGTGGCCAGTCCCCCTCTTGTCAGTTGAAATCCGGATCCTCTATGAGGACCTTGTGTTGTGGTTCCAACAGAGAAGGTGCGAATCCCCCTGCTCCTTCCCGTTGCCCCCAGCTTTGGAACCACGAGCAGCAGAGGAGCACTCTGGGTTTGTGGACCCTGAAAGGCGTGCCAATGTTCCTGCTGCTGCTCCCTCTTGCTTATGTATTTTCATACCTACCCCAGAGTGCTCACACTTATGGACATCTGGTCATTGACATCACAGCTTCTGTTCCTCACTCGCCTTCCAAAAGTATTCCATACCTGGGCATGAACCTGTAATCCTAATGCTTCGGAAGCAGAAGCAATAAGCTTGATAGTTCAAAGCAACCTGGCTACATAGCCAGACCCTTTCTCAAAAAAAAAAAATGTTAATAGTGATTGCCTAAGAAAATAGAAATCTTGTCTCCACTCCTGGGCAGAGGACAAATTTTCTGGCTGACCAGCAGATAAAAACCACATCTTCCTGTAAGACAAACTTTGAGCAGGTTTGTGTATCCTGTAAGGACTGTTTGCAGAGCTCAGGGACCCTCGTCTGGCACAAGCCCACCACGTGCAGCACTGACCTGCCTACTCCAGCTCTGAAGACTCAGGAGGGAGGAGCAAGATGCAAATTTGAAGCCCCCCCCCCCCCCCGGTCAACTACAGAGAATGACTCCAAGGTGCTCTGTCCAAAGCCCAGGAGTCACACTGGCCCTCCCAGCAGCTAGAATGCTGGGTAACTACCCAGATTGACAGAGAGCCTGGACTCTCCCTGAAGCTCCTCGGGGTGCCTTGTTTGTTCCAAGAACAACACTCCATCCCTCTCCCCTCCCATCCTGCTTCCACTCCCTCTGGAGAGAACCCTCAATGTGTCCCGCGAGTTCTGTAAGAGGATGCGTCCTTTCTTACTGCTTCCAAGGGGTTTTATAATTTCCCTCTGATCCTCTCCTTAACCACAGTGCTAGACGAGAATGTGTTTCTTAATAGCCAAGAATTCGAGGCTGCTGCCCACCGACGTGACCCAACAACTGAGCCGGTAAATACCACTTCCCAAAACTGGTCCATGAACACGAGAACATGCTTGCTGTTTGAGAGAATGTATGTTACATAAGCTTTTGTGCCTAAAGAAGGAAAGATCTCCTGTGAAACACTTGTACACTCACAGTATGTATCAAGAATAGTTCCCATGCCCCCACACCCAGGACGTCCAACCATAACCACCCACACAACCAGAGCACATTTTCAAGACAATCCTCTGAAGGTGGGCAGCTAGTAACTGAACCAAATGTATCACGTGGCTCCCTCCAGACTTTGACAGACATCAAAGAGGGGAGTAGAGAGGTGTGTACCGTGCATAGTGTGTGTGCGAGGGCTGTGGTATGCTGTGGGTAGTATGAGGATATGTGCCCCTGTAGTATGGGGAGTGTACGTATGGTGCCTATGTGTAGTATCGGTGCATGGTGTGTACATGTGTGTGGTGTGAGGTGTGTAGGCTGGGGGTATGTGTTCTATAGATATACTCACATAGCCACCACCACGACGTGGCTTTAGCCCTGACCCAAACCACACAGGTGTCCTGGAGATCAGCTCTAAAGTCGTGCTCTGACTACTGAGTTTCTAAGTCCTTTCTGCCTTTTAAAAGTCTCTTTCCTATCAGTTCTTGGCTTATTTGTAAATCAAGTTCTCTGTAAGTTCCAAATTCTTTGGAGATTTACATATATTTGGCGTGCAGTTTGTCTGTCTTTTTCATTTGCTGCACCGTAAGTTCATTCACAATGCTCTCTTCTATTCTGGTTTTCCACAGCAACTTCGGCAAGTCTGGCATTTCTTCTTCATTCTGTACTCACCTGACAACTCCTGGGCCAGACACTAGTGTTCAACCTTTTTCATCTCGGTGTTAGACTGGATTGGCAGATTACTGAGGCTTTTTCACTGTGCCTAATTGGCAGCTTCTGGTCTCACTATGTATCATTGGTTGGCCTGGAACTCACTATGTAAACCAGGATGGCCTTGAACTCACGGAGATCTGCCTGCCTCTGCCTCTCTATGTGCCACCATGCCTGGCCAATTTTTAAAGATTTATGATTGCTGCCGGGCGGTGGTGGCGCACGCCTTTAATCCCAGCATTCAGGAGGCAGAGGCAGGCGGATCTCTGTGAGTTCGAGGCCAGGCTGGACCGATAGCCTCTGAAACAATACAGAGAAACCCTGTCTCGTAAAAACCAAAAAAAAAAAAAAAAAAAAGATTTATGATTGCTATCACTATTATGTATGTACATGTGAGTGCAGAGCTCACAGAGGCAAGAAAAGGTTATCACGACCCTAGAGCTGGAATTACAGGCATTGTTAGCCCCCTGACATTGGTTCAGAAAACTGAACCCTGGTCCTCTACAAGAAGAGAAATCTCTCCAGCCCAGCCCAGTTAATGAGTATTTCTAGCTTTTGTCCTAGGCAGCAATTACATTAGTTATGTGTGAGAAGTTTCCCTTCGTTCTTCGTTAACTTGGATGTGATTTCACAATGAGAAGCATGTTCAAATGACCTATGTCCCATCATTGTGACACGCCCTTGAAAGTGGATATTTATCCAATGAGCAATGGGCTTGGAAAATTGGAACCTGATTT